CCCGATGCCAAAGGGCGTTTGATCGGTTGAAGCAAACCATGACCGAGGAACCGATGCTCGTGCTACCCGATCACGCCAAACCTTATGAGGTAGAGACCGATGCTTCCGATTTTGCTATTGGTGGTGTTCTTATGCAGGATGGACACCCGGTAGCATTCGAGTCGAGAAAGTTGAACGATACCGAACGACGATACACGGTCCAAGAGAAGGAGATGACCGCGGTGGTGCATTGCCTTCGTACATGGAGGCATTATCTCTTGGTATCCCGGTTCGTCGTAAGGACGGACAACGTGGCCACAAGCTACTTCCAAACCCAAAAGAAGTTAAGCCCGAAGCAAGCTCGTTGGCAAGATTTCCTGGCGGAGTTCGATTATGTGCTCGAGTACAAGCCTGGGAAGGCGAACTCCATGGCCGACGCTCTTAGTCGAAAGGCGGGGTTGGCGTCGACCTTAACTCGTCCCAAGAATCCATGGAACGAGCGGATCAAAGAAGGGCTCAAACATGATCCAACCGCCAAGGCAATCCTCGACCATGCTCGGGAAGGCAAGACCCGGCAATTTTGGTGTGAAAGCGACTTGCTTTACACCAAGGGACGACGGTTGTACGTGCCTCTCCATGGGAAGCTAAGGAAGGAAATCCTACGAGAGTGCCATGATTCCAAGTGGGCGGGTCATCCAGGGATCCACCGCATTATGGCGCTTGTGGAGGATCGATACTTTTGGCCTCACTTGCGCGATGACGTTGAGGCATATGTACGGACATGTCTTGTATGCCAACAAGACAAGCTTGAACAACGATCGTCGGCGGGGCTTTTGGAGCCACTTCCCATCCCGGAACGTCTATGGGAGAGTGTCTCCATGGACTTCATTGTCAACTTCCCAAAGTCCGAAGGGTGTCGGACTCTTATGGTCGTGGTGGATCGATTTTCCAAGTACGCGACGTTCGTGCCCACATCGAAAGAATGTCCGGCCGAGGAGGCGGCCAAGCTATTCTTGAAGCACGTCGTCAAATATTGGGGAGTGCCACAAACGATCGTGAGCGATCGCGACCCTCGATTCACGGGTAGGTTCTGGACTAAACTCTTTAAATTATTAGGGTCGGATCTCAACTTCTCCACGAGTTTGCATCCTCAAGCCGACGGACAAACGGAGCGAGTCAATGCACTCTTGGAGTTGTACCTCCGACACTATGTAAGTACGACCCAAGTGAATTGGGCAAAGTTGATCGATGTAGCCCAATTCTCCTACAATCTTCAAAAGAGCGAGTCCACGAACCAAAGTCCATTCGAGATCGCGACGGGACAACAACCACTCACTCCGAGTACGGTTGCAACGGGCTATAAGGGGAGTAGCCCGTCCGCTTTCAAATTCGCCAAGGAGTGGCATGAGCAGGCGGACTTGGCACGAACGTGTCTACACAAGGCCTCGAAGCGCATGAAGAAGTGAGCCGACAAGAAGCGACGGCACGTGGAATTCCAAGTCGGGGACTTGGTGTTGGCCAAGCTACACCTCGTGCTCCGATACAAGGACGTGCATAAAGGGCTTATACGTCGCTACGAGGGGCCATTTCGAGTGTTGCATCGAGTCGGGAAGGTCGCATACTGTCACGACCTAATCTTCGAGGGCCGCCTCAAGGAAGTAGGTTAAGAGGTATTTTATTGGACTCTCCCTAAGTCCATACCTTGCGTGACATTGGTCGTTTAAATCTATTTGTTCAATAGGAGCCGCCACTAGCCATGATTAAGGGTTAGCTAGAAACCCTGATCGAGATGCGGGAGTGTCATCTCGAAAACATACGCAACCAGAGATTCTTAGGGATCGGGGACTTGATTACATTAGTTTTTCAACTAATGCCCTTTCGGTACCTAAACTCGACTATTTGCTAACCAAAATATCACGGCAGTCTTGTACTAATCGAGAATTTTGAATTTTCATCCTAACCATTCTAAAAGGGGAAAACAACAATCAATGAATTTAAAGTACGCAATCAAATGAAATCAAAATGAAAGTGCACAAACAGCGACCTAGCATCGTCTCTAAAAAAAACAATAAAGAATCCCTAGGGTAAAGCCCTAAAGGCTTATTCAATTTTGGGTTCAATTTTTGTTCAGGCCAAAAGTGCTTATTAAAAGTCCAAAACTAAGAGAATTCTACATTTTTTTTTAGCTTTTCTCACATTTTTTTATTTTTTATTTGTTTTTTGAATTTTCTGAATTTTTTATTTTTATATTATTTTTTTATTATAGAAAAATGGACTTCGGACCCGGTCCGCTTAGCCGGTCTGACCCGGACCCTAACAGTCCGGTCAAACTCGCAATTCGAACTGGTTCTTGTGGCCCAGTACTAATTCGGGTCTCTTCTGATGGGCCGTCAACAATTCAAGCCCAAGTTTTCTAACTTTTTTTTTTATTCATTTAGCCCAACTCCAAATTCAGCCCATTCACACTAAAATTCAGCCCATTTATTTGTCCTAGTCTCCAGCCAGATTAGAATGCGATCTCATCTCCACCATATTCAACTCTTATTATTATTTTTTATTTCTAGTTTTTCTTTTCTTTCATTTTCTTTATTCCCTTTTCTCTGGTCTTCTTCCCCGATGGCTTTCTTTCTACGCCCTCATCTTCGCCGAGAATAGTTATTTCACGTTTTCACAGAGAACACTTTTTATCCGACGAACTCCATAGCACCATCAACTTCAACCTTCAATCGTCGACTTCAATTAACCGCAGCCGGCTAATGACCATCGGCCACTAGTTGGCCGACAGTTTCTACATCGCCGGACTAACTCCGGCGAGAAATTCTCAAACTCAAAAAATCACGTTAACTGAAACATATATGCAAATCAAATCGTGAGATAGACTAACTGAAGCGGCCTCTAACCGCAGGCATCATTCCGGCAAAAATGGAATGGATCTCCGTCGAAGGTTCCATCAATGGCCGACTCGGAAAAATGATGAATATGCCACAAAATCAAGGAAAAACACAGATTCAGTATTGATTCATCAACCTAAGAACACATCAAGCATAAAAGAACGAGTTCTACGCACTGATTTCACAAAAATCAATTCGGTTCTTCTTTCAAGTATTTTGTCGAACATATGATATGCGATCTGAAAAACGAGATTCCGATTTGATTTCGATATGATTCTCAATCAACAAGTGATGTACAGATGCCTAAATCATATTATTCTACAACAAATAGCCTTATTTCATGAGATTTTCACACAAACTCGAAAATCGAATCAACTTCTCTCGGCCAAAACAGTACATATAAGAGAAAGAAGTCTTACCTGGTTTGGAAGCAACGCGAAGTCCTCACGATCGTCTGGTTTGGAAGCAACGCGAAGTCCTCACGATCGTCTACGAACAGGACCGCAACGGAACTAGGCGTCTTTCGGCACGGCGAAGAACCGACGAACAACAATAACTCGAGCTTCCGAAGCGACGAACAATGATGTCTCGTATATCCGAAATGGTTATTCACGGGGATTGTTCACCGGCGACGGTGAACGGACGATGGAAGAAGGGGCAGAGATTTGCCGGAATTCCTCTACGCAAGTAGAGAAACCGAACGCTCTCTTCTTCAAAGACCCTTCTCCGGCGAAACTTCCTCTGTTCTCCTCTTTCCTTCTTCAGTCCTCTTTAATATGTCTCTTCCACCGCCTTTTTATCCTACGCCCCTTCTTCAAACCGTTCTCTTTTGGTTTGTTATTTCCAACAGACATGCCAGCTCATCTCTTCTTCTAGAACCTCCATCGGATTTGCTTCGGTCACCTCTGATTCGCTCACAGACAAAGGGCGTCCGTCACTGTTTCTCTTCGTCACCTTCTTGTTCCTTTGCTCACACAAGTGAGCGCAAGGAGGAGATGGGAAAAGAGCCAATGGGTTGGGCTTCCGTAAGATAAATGGGCTGAAAGGAAATAAAGTGAAGGAAAGGTTGGGCTGTAAAATAAAATTGAAATTGGGCCAACGAATGAATTAGGCCCAAACGATTTTTTTTTTGTTGAAAATTTCTATCTTTATAATCTTGCCAAAGAAATGGATGCTTGGATGGTCGACGAAAATTCAGGTGTCAACACATACAAACTGGAACTTCCACCAAATCTTAAGGTACATCCGGTATTCCATGTGAGTATGCCTAAACCTTTCCGTGTAGACGAAGAGGACCCGGATCGAGGGGAGTCGCAACGGGCACCGCTTGGAGCAAAGACCTCCTATGATCGAGACGTCGACTTCATAATGGCGGATCGAGTCATACGGAAGAGATATCGTGCGTCGAAGCGAGAATACTTGATCCGATGGAAGGGTCTTCCGGAGAGTGAAGCAAGTTGGAAGCCCGAGGAAGCTCTTTGGCAATTCAAGAAACACATCGATGCTTTCCATGCCGAAGACGCGACGAGGGCGTCGCCCGAATAGGTGGGGGAGAATGTCACGGCCCAAACAATTGGATCGTTTCTGAGGTTTTTTGGACGATGGATCGTGACCGACCCTTGGACGAGAAGGCGGGCCCCGAGTGTTCTAGTACTAGGATTTTCTTGATGTCTTCTAGAATACTCCTGGGGTGGGCGATACGGTAATTATACCCTTCCGTAATAAATGTGGTAGGTGGGGTAATTGGGGGAGAACGATCTCGACCGTTGAGATCGGGGAGAGATCTACGGATACGGTCAGCCCGATACTTGTATATAATGGGTCTCCTCCCCTCATTTTATCATCTCTCATTTTCAAGAAGCAATACAAAGTTGAGAGCTTCTCTCTCTAGAGTTTCTCTCTCTAAAGTTCTTGTGAGTGTGAGTGTGGGAAGGCTTACTTGGGGAGAAATTCCTAAGGGCCGCACGGGTGTGGGAACGCTAGATCGCCCATGACACATGCATACTTTGCCAACGCAAAGCCCCAGGATTGAATTGTCGTCACCATTTTCAAACCACAATGGAATTTTTAAATCTCCTCAGTACAGATTGGTACTTACGGCAAATAAGAAAATTAATATGAATGAAGAGAAACCAACAAGTAACAGGAGACGGTCATCTGCATGATGAATGTACCACTGCCCATCTTTTTGTTTACGCTTAACTTACAATACGCTATGCTGCACCAACAGCTCTACCATAGAGCTACCTAGGAAAACGATAGATACAATCATCTCATAGGAATCCTCCGCTAACGCCATTCACTCCGAGTCTGATCAACAAGAATATAAACCACATACTTGAAACAGTGGACATAGCAAAAGTGCAAGAATATGTAGTTATCTTGTCCTCGTGAAAACATTAGTACTTTCAGAACCCTGATGAGGAGGAATGGACAGAATACGTATCTAATCTTCCCGAAAAATGAATGTAAGCATAGATTAACTAACAAACAATGTATTAAATGAAAATGATTAAAAAATATTGCAACTCTACATATAAGTTCATCTACAACCTCATGTACCTTGAAGCTCAATTCTTGGAAGCCAGTGATCTCGATCAATATCAACAACTACTGCTTCATTCATCTCCTCACCAAGTGACCAACTGAACAGGATAATGTGCTGGTCCACATTTTTTTGGTTAGCTGCAATTGCAAGCTTGCTGAAATGAGAAGAAGAAAAGAGGTTAGCCTTTATTTGCTCTGCAATATCGTTTCCGTGGATACTGCAGCAGGAAAAAATACAGTAGCTAATCTCTGACGGTATTTTCAAAAGTCAAATATCTATATAAGTAGGAAAAAAGAGGAAATCTGTCAGTTTAACTTTCTCATGAGATCAATGTGCTATTAGAACCAAAGCAAGAAGTTCAAATTTGTGAACAGGCATGCAACTCGTGTTAATTTGCCAATTGGGTTATTTCCATGATGGAAGACCAAAATTTAACACGTATCAACATAAGATAATTAGGCCAAAATCAGGGCTTTGCACCTGACGCAAGTGATAAAAAATCACGTATTAAATGGCCACGAGTCAAAAGAAAAACAAATTGAAATATTCTAAAATTATGAATCTCTCAAACGAGATATGATAAGAGGTGCAAGCAATCAGAGTCTCAATGACAAATAAAAGAAATAAAATATGGAGAGAAAGTAAAAATTAGGACATTACTGTTCTTCCAAATAGTTAAAGAACAGATGCGGCCCAAATCCTGCGGGAATAATATCATCCACAATTCCACGGAAAACATCACAAAAGGATTGCAGTATCGCCTCAGAAGAAGCCTACAGAAATCAATATTACCAAAATGACTAATTAAATCATCAGATTGTAAATTTAAATTTTTGAACATAGTCCTAAGGACGTCACTCAACGAGAACAGCATCCCCACATTCAAATATGTTGCTATACATATAACTAATGGCAAGCCACCATTTGCATGTCATCCTATGAAAATGGAAAACTATCGAGACATAGGAATATGCCCTCTCCTTCACATCCTAGTTGCAACATCTAGCAGCCATGGACTCGTTTAGATATTTGTAGAAACTTTGTATAGCCACGACAGCAAGTGCACCAAAAAGTTCTCTTTCGTCATCAATGACATTTTCAGACAGTACAATTTTGATTAGAACAAAAATGTTAAGACTGGCACGAGAGAAAAAATAACTATGTCACGGGATTCCACGCGAAACAATTTAATTACAAGAGGAATTTGGAAACCATCACAGCAAGAATTTACAATACAAGACAATGTGGTAATTAAGGGACCATGGCAGATCAGTGCGACCAGATCTAGTAAGTAGAGACTAAAACTACTTCAATTCCAAGCCAATTACCATAAAATCATACTGAAATCAAGTTCAGAAAAGTCACTTGTTAATTGTTCTTTGAGTACACAAGAGTATAAAAATTAACTTTTCTAGTTACTAAAGGAGATTGCTCATGAACCTCTCTAGCTGCTTAATGATGATGATGATGATGATCACAATGATAGTGATAATATTTGCCAAATATTTTTGAAGATTAAACGATTGATAGTGAAAATTGTGTCAAGGATTGTTTCACCCACATTAAAAAAGTTGCCGTCTCTGGTCCTGATTACTTGCAAAAGATAACCTTCCTCCATGCCGTTTGAGGTAAGTTGAAAACACCCTAGAACGATGCAATCGGGACGAACCCACTTGAGAGAATCCACTGTTCACAAATTCACCCACATTAAAAACCTTAAAGACCAAAGTTATTCCTTAGAAAGAATTCAAGTCTGAGCAGAATCCATATATGAAAATAAACAACCCTTGCACGTGCAAATATGGAGCAAACTTTTTCTGAAGGACCATATTATTTATCCAAAATTTAATCTCAGTGAAAGTTACAGCATAAATGATCATCTTCCAACTAACCTCTACTCAGGGATATAGGAAGGTATGCCTTCAGATAACAAATTATAAGCAAATTGCCAAACAAAACATCTAAATTTGAACATCAGAGTCGATTTACCTTTCACACTAAATTCGTCAGACTCTCCTGTCCATGGTTGGAGTGACAATGCCATGTGGAACTTCTCATTTAATTTGGATGAAAGAATACTTAGGTGTCATTCCTTGCCACAAAGAATATAATCTTCTTTTGCACCTTGCGATCAACCGAAAGGAGAAAGGCTAAACAGAGTATGAAGAATAACGAGAACGACTATGCTAATTCTTTACGTTCATTTTAAGGAATTACCGTCCAAACAAATAATTAATACACCATAAAGCAGCATTAAAGAAGTAAACAGAAATAACTTTACCAAACTAGACAAAACATGATGTTTAAGGTACTCTATAAGCATACTTTGTGAAAGCCAGAGCAGAGTTCGTTCCAGAGCTCACTGTAATACGAATGGGTAATAGAATGATGAAAGTTTGTATGTTTGATCCGATTATGGAACTTTCAGCAAGAGAATTTCTTGGATCAGATGACCATCGAGATTTGAATGATCTACCAAAACCCCGCAATGTAATGAAGACAGCATGCTAAGAGAAAGCTAAGCGCAAGCTTCACGTCAATTCGTAGTATGTATAGTTTAGTTCATCCACTGAAATCTTAATAATCAGCACTAGATAAGTTGGTCTCTCAAATTCAAAGAGAGAAAATGAAACATTGAATAAAGTCCATGTTCTTGAGCATGAATTGAAACTAAAATAAAACGAGAACCACAAATCAAGCAGCATTATCGCACAACAAATAAGTAATACTTCATAAAGTAGCATTGCAGAAAGTAATTAGAAAGAACACTACCAAACTAGACAATAATTAATGGTTAAGGTACTTTACACGGATACTTTGTGAAACACAGAGCGAGATTCAAGAGCTCATCACAGTGTATGCAAATATGCTGATCAACAACACACTATGTTTGATCCAATTATGGAACTTTTAGCGGCAGAATTTGTTGAATCGGGTAGCCATCACAGGTGAATGCTCTCCATAAACAAAGAATATAAATGAAGACAGCATGCTAATTTAAAAGAAAGACTGAACGCGAGCTTCACGTCAACTCTATAAGTAAGAAAAGCAATTCAATGGTACTTTCAAGTCAAGGCTCAACAGATGCAACAGCATTGGTAGTAAGTACAATTAATTTATCCTTCAAAATCATATAATCAGCAATAGCTAAGTTGGTTTCTCAAACCCAATGGGAGAAAGGACACAGTGAAATAGAGTCCACTTTCTTGAGCATGAATTGATAGTAAACAAAAACCCTAGAAATCAAACCAAATCACAATGCAAACAAACAACAATAAGTAAAACAACATAAAGCAGCATCGCAGACACTAAACAGAAAGAGCTTCACCAAACTAGACGAAAAATGATGGTTAAGGTACTCTACAAGAATATTTTGTGAAAGCCACAGCAAGATTCACTCCAGAGGTCATTGTAGTGTTTACTGCAACCTTGGTTTTTTTCGTTTTTTTTTTCTTTCTTTCCTTGGACATTTCTGATGTACTTGAATCTTTGGCTACTTCTGTTGGGCTCCTCTATTCGGCTTTGGACATGTTTCTAAAACTCTAGTCTTTTGATGTGTTTTTTTTGTTCTTCCTTCTTTCTTTCCATGTACATTTCTAATGTACTTGAAGACATTATATATGAAAAACGATCCACTGCATTTGATCCACTCATGGAACTTTCAGCACCCAACTTTCTTGGATCAGATAGCCATCCCGATTAAACAATCTCCCATAAGCACACAATACAAATGAAGACAGCATGCTAATTTAATAGAGCAAGACAAGTGTAATCTTCACGTCAACTCTATCAGCCACATAAGAAAAGCTATATTCGGTGGAACTTTCAAACTTTCATCAATGCTCTATGGATGCACCAGCTTTTATATTATGTATAGTTCAGTCTATCCTCCTAAATACAAATAATCAGCAGTATATATGTGAGTCTCTCAAACTCAAGGGGAGAAAAGAACATATTGAAACAGAGTCCATGTTCTCGAGCATGAATTGATACCGCAACAAAGAAGCAGCGTGGAAATCAAGGGTGACAAGCAACAAAAGTCTCTACAGAACAAACTTGTTTTAAACTGCCACTCATAATAAGCAGAGCCTAAGTGAAGAAGTTCTTGATTTTTAAAGCATACCGGCATCAACATTATCCATTAAATGCTCTAAATGTTCACGAATGCTCCCAAGATACAGGTTCCCGCAACTTGTCAGAAGAATGTATGAATTATGTCTCTTCTTTAGCCACTTCATGTCCTTTACAGAACTTCCTTCATCTAATGAGCAGGAAAAAATACGTTCTTCCTTCTGCATGATTGAAGGGCTCAATCAGAAGCAAACCCTCGTCAAAAAGCGTATATGTATTACTCCTTTATGAAAGAAGAACAAGAGTCAAAGACAGCATAATTTCATCAAATATAATTTGAAATGCAGAATTTTAAGGACTGCACATGATGTTAACGGATAAAAGGAAGCTTTCTCTTTCCAACCCCATGTCAAAGTGTTTCAATTTCTCGGTTTTAAGTCGACCTAGCAAATAATTTGCATGCAAAACCTATGGAGAATAAAGATAAATAAGGGGATAAAAATGCAAATTGCAAGCAATCACCGCCTATTTCAAAATATGTTTTGGATTTTTGTACATGTGCAGTGCATCAGATGCACAAAGCTGACAATTGTCAATGTAAGTACAACCTAATAAATCAGATTTATTAACGAAACATTAGTCTATGTCCCACAAAACGAGGCTCCAGCTAGACCAGGATAATAAAACTCAACTAAGCATCCACGTCTATAGGGCTGTAGCTCATTACTAAGGGAGGATACCGTCCACCAACTTCATTATGGCTCATGATTCTGTCTTTATTATGGATAACTCGAACCCTATAATCATTTGCAGATATAAAACGAAAGCAAACGTAACTAGAGATATCTCAGTTCCCAAAAGCCAAAAGAGCATATACAGGAAAATGTCCAAAACGCAGGGCCAGCTATAACTATTCCTAATCCGAACCGAATGTAACAACATAGGCGTCGGTCAGCGTCTAACAAGAATTCTCAATGAACATGCTCAGAAAAGAATCACAACATGATGAGAAAAAAGTCGACTTTTTTTCAAGGATCTCCACATGTAGGGAGTGTAATTGGAAAAGGAATTCCGGCCCCAAAGTTTCAGCCATTTTCTCATATAAACATATAGCGTGATCTAACAAAAGGGACTCTGAGTCTGAACTAACCTTATAGTGAAACGATTCAACCGAGAAGAAGTAAACAGTCCCCCCACGAGAAGCCGCAAGCGTCGAAGAATCAGGAGAAAGCGAGAGCAAGCCAACCGCCCCCATGGGTACGTCCACGTCGCTCAGTGCCTGCACGTAATGACCTCTCCACCACTTCCTAATCCCCTTCGCCATCTCCATCACACGGCTGGTCGTCGCGACGCAAAACCCTACAGACCAGAGCACGATTAGCACCAAATTGCACCGCCACAGGCTACCAATCGGACGAACGTATCGAGGTCTACAAACTCACCAGAGGAGTGGGCCACGAAGATGAGCTGGAACCGCTCGGAGACGGTGAGCGGCCGGGGCCGTCCGGCCTGGCACCGCCGCCGCCCCCCGCGGACTCGACCGGCATCTGCTTGCCGATCCGGACGAAGATGAAATCGGAGGTCGGCACGCCCTTCCCTTCGGCCTCGTCCTTCAGCTCGATTGTCGCGGCCATGGCAGGAGCTGGAGTTTCCGACCGCGAGAGAGAGGGGGAGGGGAAGGAACGGCCGAGCTCCGATCGACGGTAATCGGCGGTGATGACGAAGACGGTGCCCGTGGAAGTGCGTGAGGTTTATTGCGTTATTGCGTTGGAAGAAAACGAAATTATTTCCTTAGATACATACGAGTTACGATGAAGTAGTCGATAATGAAAAGAGAGAGAGAGGAGGAGAAGGACGAGAGGGGCAAAGAATCATTGCATAATGGGCTTAATACCCACAAAAATCATTCGTCTCGTGACTCTTTTCCTCGCAATACTATATTACAGCACCAGCAAAGCTTTGGCTGCTCTATCGGGACCACAAGTTCTTTGTACATTTCCGTTGATTGGCTGGTCTCATCTCTCTCTCTCTCACTCTCTCTCTACTGCTTCACAACATTTTGTATCCGATCCTCTTCTCTCTCGCCTTTTGTTCTCTAGCGGAACCAACCTTCATGGCAATACATTCTCAGCCAAAAGCACATCACTCTACAGTTTGTGGATTTACGGGTACACCCAAAAGCAAGAGAGGACATTTCACAGAACAGCAAAGGAATGATCAAGAGTAAGAAGAGGCTGAGAGCATTCAGAAGAGACTCAGAAAGTTCAACATCTTCTTGCTCATATCATCTATAGGCCCTCCAATGATCGAGGAGGAATCCACCAGAAGACAAAAAGAAAAATAATTCATCACATTCGAGTAGTGAAATCAAGAAAAAGATAAGAACCCACAATTTTAGATTTAATCCCTGTGAGAACAGTAATTAGGTAATAGTTTTCCAATAAAAATTTGTTGATTCCTAAGTGTTAGTATGTGCAAAAACAAAGTTGTTCAACAAACCTTAAAGCGCAGATAAGTAATCCGAATGTTGACGAATGATCCGAGCCCGACGAATTCACATTGTGTCCTTAAGACAATTTGTCCTCTCTACCGGTACCCAAGGTTCTTGAACAATTGCCTCCTAGGATAGAACGTATCGCATTTCCTATGAAGTGGTACTTCTTCAAAGAAAACCTTTGAACGCAACTTTGCAGATTAATCACACAAAAATGACAATGATGAAGAATAAGAGAGCAGTAGAAAAATGTTGCGCGAAAACACAATGTTTTTTGTTTTATTTAAAAACAATGAAGAGTCACGAAGAACCGAAAAGTTAATTTGTTCATTATCATCCTTGAACTTTTGGTATATGTTCAATTTAGTCTCCGAACTATATGAGAATGTTCAATGTAGTCATTGCATTAATTCAAGTTCATGGACTATATTAAACATTTTCATATACTTCAGACCAAATGTTGAGAGATCACCTTAAACAAATAAAAAGTTCAAGGATCACATTTCATATTGAACTAAAGTTCATGAATTGTTTGTGTCATTATCCCTTTATTATAATAGAGCATGTCAGTAAATAAAATGCATTAATGCTATCAACAGTGGCTACACATAATCTCACGTATACAAACATACACAATTGGGTTGAATCCTAACATCGAGCCACGGTTGGCACACATACCGGCACATCGGCATCCGTAACAATTGTACCAATTAGAATAATCTTCTCGATGTAATTATTGCTATTTTGCCAAAATCATTCTTAATTCATGTCAAGTCCAACCAAATCAGCAGCCGAAAAAGGGAAATTCATCCTTTATTTAACTAGAAAAATTTAAATTTGTCACAAAAATGACAGCCTCTTATTTCCCTCGTTGAAAATAAATCTATCCTTAGCTTCAAAACTCACATTTAAATCAATTAAAATCAATTAAAAAAAATCCCCTTTCCTTAATTATGTTTATCTTGATTTCTGGAAAAATAAATCCGATAATGTCAAGACTCGCTTCATCTGACTAACTAGAAAACATCCACGTTCTGACATTCATAAATATTTAGCAATTAGAATAATCTTTCTAATGTAATTATGGTATTTCTTTTTTGCCAAATCAGCAATCCAAAAGGGTAACATTCATCCTTTCTTTGATAAGAAAAATCTATATTTTGTCACTAAATGACAATCGAGCATTGGCTTCAAAATCGGCATATAAATCGATTTAAAAAAGGGTTAGTACCACAAAAAAACTCTCAAATTAGTATATCTGTGATAAATTTACCTTAAACTAATTTTTTGATAACCAAAAATCCCAAACTGGTACATATATAACATATTTACCCTCCACTAATTTTCGTTCAATTGAATTAATACCACAAAAAAAAAATCACAAATTGGTATACCTGTGACAACCAGAGGGGTCAAACCCTAAACCGATACATCCGTGAACTATCACGTGTCATCCAACTCAGCAATTTGATGGTAAAATTTAACGTAAATTAACGGAGGGTTTGTCACAAGTGTACCAATTTAGAGTTTTTCATGTTGTTAGCACTTTTAAAAAAGAAAATTACCATTTTCGCCGGTTCAGCTTGATCTCTATAAATGATAACCCTTTGCTTAATAGGACACTCATGAAGAAAATCAGATAATGTCAAACCCCAAATTAGTACACTCGTCAACTATTACGTGTCATCCAATTTAGCAATTTGACAATAAAATTTAACATAAATTAATAGAGGGTTTGTCACAAGTGTACCAATTTAGGATTTTTCATTGTATCAAACCCTTTTAAAAAGGAAAAATACCCGTTTCGCCAGTTCAGCTTGATCTTTGGAAAACGATAACCCCTTGCTTAATAGGACACTCACGAAGAAAATCCGATAATGTTGAAACTCACTCAACCCGACTAACTTAATAATATCAAACAGCAACTCTTCTATCTAAGTATATTTTAGGAAATATTTCAGATGGACTCCTATTCACCTTAGGAAAGTGCAAATTCTACCTGGCCTGGCTAGTAACATGTTATATATAATGCTTCAGAAGCTGTGAATAGAGAAACAGTCGACATGGAGAGCAGTCGAAGCCAAAGTGATGAAGCCAAAGAAGTCCTTCAAGCATCGCTGTTTCTTTCCGTATTGAAGCACGCCGGCGATCGTGTCTCCGAGGGCGATGAAACCGCGAGATCCGAGGACGTTCCAGAGAGCAGTTCGGGCGCACCGCTTCGCCAGCTGCGCAGATCCAACCCTCCCATTGTCCAGCGCATGAACGCGCTGATCGACTCTATCGGGCAATGCCGGGGTCCATTCGAGAAGCGGTTGAAGTCGAGCGACCTCAGAGAACAACAGAACCGGCTCCTCCTGTGGAAGGACCACGTCCGGGAGTTCATACTCCCGTTGCTCGAGGAGGACGACGATCCTGCGCGAGGCGTGGAGGTGACGGCGTTTAATACGGAAGGAAAGACGTTTCTGTTAGATGTATGCCCTAAAGTTACCATGTAATAGTTACATGTTAGGGATTTAAGTTGTACTTTCAATTACATTATTTATTTAATGGCAAAGACGCATTCATTCATTTGTCCAATTATTTAAATATATGAATGATTCCATAAGATCAGTTGTGACTGGACCTATTCTTGAGACGTTAAGAATATGTGTGACAGGTTCACAGTTAGACTGAATCTTTAAATTGTTCTCGGTCGATGGATCATTGAGTGGATATTAATGATCCTGTTGAGACCGGTGTGTTTGTAACTTCACCAATAAGTATTGGATACTTAAGGGAATGACGAGTCACGAGTCATTAGATATTGCGATACCCGAGTTAGAACACAGGTGCTTGTATCAGACAAGTTCACTGAACGTGACATGCATAGAATGATTAGCAACATGGAAACTTTTAGCGTGGTCAATGTCTAATCGTTCGTGCTCTGGTTTTGTGTAAATAATCCTTAGACCTGAGGTACAGTGTTGACTTGTATGTTGGATGGCTATGGTTCACAGGTGCGCATATTGCCGCTTCGTTGATTCGTCTCTGTACTTGATGGCCATAGTTCGTTCACATACGAAGTTACACGTGTGCGCAAAATGGAATCTGTCTCCTTGTTATATGCAAGGTACAATAATGATGTCCTATGCAATCTAATCTTGACACTGCATTGAAATCCTCGGCCGGGGTTGTAACCGAGAATGAACTGTTCATGTCTCATATAAAATGTATGTCAATTAGATTTGTGCATATGATTGAATTGGTGACTTGACAAATACTCCATGGTCTTTGTTCGATCGGGACATAGTAAGGCAGAGGGATTGAATTACACTGTAACCAAAGCTGACAGGTTCATTATGTTCTTTAAACATTCACACTATCTAGGTAGCCATGAGATATTGCTAGATGTCAATCGTGGCTTGTAGGACCTAGAGGTTGATCGGGACAATCAATTCTCTTGGGAGTACTAACGTGTTAGTGCAAGTCCTACTACTAGATCAGTGATGAACCTAGGGATGTCACACACCATAACCAATTTAGAATGACGTTATACGGAGGATGCAATATTGCAAATATGTTTGCAATTATAGCAATCGATTAGTCAGATTGAGATTAAATTAAATATGATTTAACTTAATTTTATTTCAGTCATGATCGTGCGTGCATATGATGCACACGCAAACCTAAAGTGGCACATGTTAATGTGCCATATGATCTTACACTCTTAATTTTATTAATTAAAAGTGTACACGGTCAACAACGGTCAGCTCCTTGCTGATCGTGTGTGTTTTAATTTAAAATTTAAAAAAAAAATGAA